TTTTGACTTAATATTTCACTTTAACTTAAAATATAAAAAAAATACCTTATTTTGTTAAAAGACTGAGCATTGTTGAAAACCCATTGATAGCAGCGACACTATTTTCAGGTGTGGGGTGTAATTGGGGAGTGGCGGCTGAGTGCTGTGGCTGAGGCTGAGGCTGAGCTAAGGTGTAATAATCGTGCTGACCGCAGTAGAAGGCGAGGGCGTTGTTCCTGCCAATAGCAGATGCATGCTGAGTGCTGACTAGCTGCTGATCAGCCGAGTGCCAGTTGCAGATTTCAGTTTGCTGAATTAAAAAAATAAATAAAACTAAACAAAGCAATCCTGAGTCATCCTGGCAACTCTGTTTAGGGTTAGGAAATAGCTAATTTTTTAATTTTTTTTCAATGCCCACAATTTTCTTTTCATTGCGCTTGAATAATTTAATCCTTACTAATATTTTTAATGAAAAATAATTTAAACCCCAATTGGATGGAATTGAATGTGTTTTTAAACATAAACATTGTTGTATGTTATTTGATTTTAATTGAAATTATTATACAGTCAATCATGTGTTAATGCTATTGATTTAGGTCTCGTTCTCCTAGACGTCGATCATACTCAAGGTCCAGGTCTCGTGGCCGTCGTTCACGTTCTTATTCTAGATCACGTTCACGTTCACGTTCTGGTAGTAAAAGTTCACGAGGACATTCRAAGTCAGCCAGTCGTTCAAGATCATAGGTAAAAACTAATCATTATTTTTAAACCCTTTTTTTTAATTTGTAATATTTATTGTTATAATTAATACACACTAATGACTAATGTCTCAATAATCTGTCAAATTATTCTATAAAAGTCTTATATTTTTATCAATAATTTGTTGTTTTATTTATTTAAATACAGTTGATTCCGCTTTATTGGGACACATTGGTTGTATGTTATTTTGTCCCAATAAAGTGATTGTTCCTATAATCCGAAATGAAAAAACACATACAAATTTATTGAAAAACTGATTTTTTACCTATTAGTTATTAGTTATTACAATAGTGGCTGTAATTTAATTTTGTCTAGAATTTGTAATTTTTGCGCGAGCGATAAATCTTTACGTATACGAGACATCGTTACTACACATGACAAACAAGACTAATTCACTAAATAACATTTAACACATCAAATTTGAACATACGATAAGATAAAATGTATATAGTTTAATCTAATAATCGATTACGCGAGTCAGTCGCG